GGGGCCGTGGCGCTGCTGGCCGGAGCGAGCTGCCTGTGCTACGGCCGCTCCCTGCAGGGCGAGTTCGTGCACGACGATGTGTGGGCGATCGTGAACAACCCCGACGTGCGGGCCGGAGCCCCGCTGCGCTGGGGCATCTTCACCAACGACTTCTGGGGCAAGGGCATGGCCGAGAACACCAGCCACAAGTCCTACCGGCCGCTCTGCGTCCTCACCTTCAAGTGAGTTCCTCACCTGGCGCTTTCGGCCGCTGCCTCCCGCTACCCTCATCCTACCCCCGGGCCAGGAGAAGTTGCGGGACTGGCTTGGAGTGCGGGGATTTCTTTTTTGCCGCCCTTTCCCTCTACGCTTCCTTCTCCATTACTGTGCCCGACTATGCGCTGAGCGCCTGGGTCCTGGGTCCCGCCTCATTGGGCTCCCGGGGAGGTTGGGAGCGCGGGTGGAGGGTTAGGATCGAGTTACCCAAGTGTCTACGCTTTTGGCGGGCTTCTCTTATGAGGCTGGGCTGGGAGCTGGCTGGTGGAACCGCCTCCGCACCCTGGACCCCCACCAGATGGTGACCAAGTGGGACCAGCGCGGGCCCAACGGACTCTGGAGAGGTGGCAGTGGTGGACGTAGCAAGTTGGGATTTCTCTGAGGATGCTGGGCAGCTTTGCAGATGATGAGTCTATCTGCCCCGAAGGGTTGAGACGTGGAGGGAAGCCTCGAGTTGCCAGGGCTGCGTAGGATTGGGAGAAGAGCTGGCACCAGGGGAGCAGAAGACACCCCCCCCCATCTCACCTGCACCCGGAGCCCTAGGCTGCTCCCCCAGTCTCTCCACTCTGCCAAACTGGTTTTCACTGTGCAAAGCCAAGAATCGCAAAAGCGTGGAACCCTCTGGGGATCCTGGGGTCCCGACCGAAATAGTTTTTCTTTTACTGCCTCGGAGTCATGATTCAGCATTTCTGGCGCTAAGAAGTGAAAAGGGAACCGAGAAAACGCCAGGTCTGTGTAGGGTGGAGTATTTAACTGCGTTAGAAAGAGGGCTAGCTTCAGAGAAAGTGGAAAAGGGCTATTGGAGCCAAGTGCCATCTCATGCAGCGTGAGGTTGGCTCAGCCCTTATAATTTAGCTCAGAGTGTAAGCTTCTTTTAATGCATCGGACAGAACTGCTGAAACTATATTGGTTCGGTATTTTCAGCACTTTTCCAACGGCTGTAATAGGAGCCGGTGTTATGGTAATGATCATTTGAGACTGGGTTGGCAGCCTGGAAAGCCTGCTCAGAGGCCCAGGTCTGGTCAGGTGGCTCTGATGACAGAAAAGGAAACCATAGCAATTGGCAACAGTTCATGAGCTTTTGACTTCATTCTTCCACTGAAAGTTTAATTTTTTAAAAAAGAATTATTTTTTATTGAACTTTATTTTATTTATTTTAATTTGACTATCGAGGGAGAGGTAGGGAGAGAGTGAGAAAGCAAGTCGCCAGGTCCAGGACTTGAACCACGCTAGGTCTTATGGGAGTGCAATGACCTTAACCACGATGCCACTTGCTGGCTCTGAAAGTTTTATATTTTAAGGAGAGTGAGAAAATTAAACGTTTGACTCTGTAGATGATTTTTTTTTTTTTGGGTTTATAAGCATTTGTTTTCTTGGAACGTTAATACTGTTTTGCTTTTGTTTGGTCTTTTGGATTTTTTCTAGGTTTATTTCATTAGCTCATACACACTTACGTGTCTTCTGGTTTGTTCAAACAGTAAGTCAGGCAACGTTTGCCACAATAATGTCTGTCAAAGTGCCTGGCCATAAAAACTCTGTCACTACATCCATCTGAGGGAACACTCCCTACAAAAGACAGCTAATTTTGCCATTTTCATCCACCTTACATTTTTTCAGGACAGACAGCTTAACTTTCTTTTGTTTATGCTTATTCTTCTTGGAGTGGTGTTAAGACTTCTTTCTTTTCATAACCCTACCACAAAGGCCCAACTCAAGAGGAAGAGTGCACTTTGAATGTTGTCAAAATGTACCGATTTTCCAGTTGTTTGCCAGCCAAGATCAGTTTTTGCCAGTCGGAAGGAATTCTTTCCTTATCTGGGATATCAGCCTTTACATTTTCTGTCCTATCCATTGATTCAACCTTGAGAATGATGGTCTTCCGAAAACAAAACTCTGCTTCTTGGTGGCAGTTCTGTGGATTAGGAGGGCTAGAAAGTTTATTGGTTAACTGAAAAATGACCATTGCTGAGCAAATTGATCAGTACTTTCATTTTTCTAAATGTTTCTTAAAATCTCTTTAGGTAGCTCTAATACACATGCTTCACTTAAATTGACCTGCCTCCTCTTCACTTACGTTGGTGAAGGCCGTTGGTTCCGGAAGGTGTATAAGCTGACAGCCTGAGGTACACTGGATTGAAAACAGTGGTGGAGACCATCCTGTTCACTGCTCAGGGCTTTCCATCAGAAAGGTCTGTCTGGCCCAATGCCTGTGCCTGCTTGCTGGAGGACATAGAGCTTCCTCCTCTCAGCTTTCTAAAGTGTGGTGTTCAGAAAGGGGATGGCGGGTACTTAGAGAGAGGGAGGGAGGAAGAGAGCAGACAATGAGCCAAGAGGAATTTAGGGGTTTGTCAAAATAGGGGTGAAGGAGGAGGGTGGGGGAGCGGGGAGAAGAACTCTTAAAAATCAGCTTAGTGTAGATCCCAAGAGGAGAATGGAAGAGAAGGGACTGCGGAGTAGCCATCACCCTGGGTGGGTGATTTCTCGCTTTCTGTCTCTGTCTCTCCGGCAAGTACATGTACCCTATAGCAAAAGTCTCTCCTAAAAAAAATACAATTCCAAGTTGCCCTTTAAATTTGTGCAAGCCATTTTAGTTCTATCTTAAATTTGCTTGTTTAAGTAAAATCTTTAAGACAACAATCCATTTCAAAAGGTTTTTATTTTGAGATAATGGTGCATTCTTGTGCAGTTATTACTAATAAAATAGAGATTTCTTATACTATTTATTTTTTTTTAAGGTTGCTACCATAGGTTGCATGTGCTTGCAGGAGAGAGACAGAGATAGTGAGAGAGAAAGTGATAAATCAGCCCCTGGGAGGATGGCCACACTGCAGTCCCTTTTCTTTCACTCCCCTCTCAGAATTTAGAGCATGCATGTACATGTACCCGGTGTGATTTTTCAAGCTGCTGGGTCTGGGACTTGAACCGTTGTCAGTCATGTGGTAGTCTAGCGCCTTAACCACCATGGCATCTGCTGACCCCGTAGTCTTTTTCTTCAATAATAACATTTTGGCTAACTATAGCACAGTAATACAATCATGAAACTGACATTGAAGCAATCCACAGCTTAACGAATTCAGATTTAATGCCAATTTCACCAATTACATGTGTTCTTTTTATTTATTTATTTTGGTGTGTATTTAGTTCTATGCTGTTATCGTTTGTGTAGATTTCTGAGATTACCGCTACTGTCAAGATATAAAACAGTTCCATCACAAGGATCTCTAGTGCTTCTCCATCACTGCAGAGACCCCTAATTTATCACAAAAACCTACTCTGTAACTATCTATTCTGTCTCTGTAATTGTATCATTTTAATGCTGTGACATAAATGAAATCATGCAGTATATAACCTACGGAGATCTGCTTTTTGGTACTCATCATGTCTCTGGAGCTTTACTTACCACTAGTTTGTTCCTTCTGATTGCTGAATAATATCCACTGTGTGCATATACCACAGTTCGTCTATCCATGCACCTGCTGAGAGTATCTGGGTTGTTTCCTGTTTGGGTTATTACAAATAAAACTGCCATAAACGTTCATTTACAGGTTTTTGCATGAACATACATTTTTCTTTCTTTGGAAGAAATGCCTAGGAAACCAATTGCTGGGTTGCAGGATCATTGCATGTTTATTTATTTATTTTCCTAATTTTTTAAGAATTATTTTCTTTAACTTTATTTATTTACTTATTATTATTATTTTAATTTGACCAGAGAGGGACAGAGTGAGAGAGTGAGAGCAAAAAAGCAGCCCATCAGGTCCAGGACTCGAACCATAGTTGGCCATGTAGGAGTCCAACGCCCTTAACCACCATACCACCTGCTGGCCCCTATTTATTTATTTATTTTTTATGAAGCTGCTGTATTGTTTTGCTGACATTCCTACCAGCAGTGTATGAGTAATCCAGTTTCTCTGCATCCTTGTCAGCACTTGGTATTGTCTCTGGTTTTCACTGCAGTCATTGTTATAGGTGTGTAGCAATATGCCACTAGGCAAGTAGTTTTAACATCCATTTTCCTAATGACTGATGGTCTTCGACACCTTTTATGGGCTTATTTGCCCTCCATATCCTCTTTGGTAAATGTATCTTTATGCTATTTGTCCCCCTTTTTTGGTGAATTTTTGTTGCTGTTGTTTTAATGTTGAACAAGTTCCTTATATATTTTTGGTATGTATCCTTTCAGTGATATGATGGGCAAATATTTCCTCTCACTCTGTACTTCATCTTTTCATTCTCCTTACAGAGTGTTTCCCAGTACAAAATAAAACTTTTTTCATTCCTTTAGTTCACTGTAGGGTATGTGTACTTGCTGGGGAGAGACAGACAGAGAGGGGACAGTACGAAATCATCCCCTGGGGGGATGGTCATGCTGCAGTCCCTTCTTCAGTCTCCTCCCAGAATTTTAGGTATGCACACATGTACCCAGTGTGTTTTCAAGTCTCAGGATCTGTGACTTGAATTATACTGTAGGCCAGGTGAGATCCAGGGCCTTAACCTCCACACCACCTGCTGAGAATAACCTATTTTTCTTTAAAGTGTGTTATCTTGGATTCATTGACTATGTGTCATACATCCTGAGAGCTAGACCTTCCCTTAAGATTATATATAATTGGGCTGACTTCATGGCTAGCAGTAATAAGCTGCTCAAGATAAGTTGGATCCTACCTGGTGACCACAGTTGAAATCTCAGCTCCATCAGCCTGAAGCATGCTGAGCACATGCTCAAGTGCCCATGATCCAGTGGGCTGGAAAACTGGACGAAGGGGACCGCAGCATGGCCAGGACCTGTGCCAGGTGCTCCTTTCTCTCTGTTTCTCTGTTTCTCTTTCTCTGTCTCACACACATGTGCAAGTGTGCTCTATCATGGATTAAAAAAATAAAAAGAAATTGATAGATGCATAGTACTTTTTACTGTAAAAGTACTTACTTGCCTACTCATCAATACTAATAAAGTTGCTTGTTTATG